GAGGGGGAATTGCTATTAGGGGTCGTGGCCCCCTAATTAAACTTGCTGATAAGCTTTTGGTAGCTAAAGATTTTGTCAACTTTCAAAGACAGTACCTGGGGATACGACTATATAGTGGGTTACAATTATAAATATGAACTGTCGGAATCGGTTTACAAGGGAGAAAAAAATAGTCCCTCCGTCTCAATGTAGGTTACATTTTTTTTTCTTCTAGAGTTTAACTAATTTTTAAAGCTTAATTGAATAAGATCAATTTAATTTTTAAAATTACAATTTAAATATTTAAAAACTATACAAAAGGCTTTGTAAATTATAATTCTTTTCATGTTAATATGATAAAAAATATATTTTAAATAATTAGTTAAATTATCATATAAATTGAGACCGAATAATACCAAAAGATTAAAATTATTGGGGGCCAGTTAGGTCAGTCCTATACCACATATTGTTTATGAAGATAATATTGCAGGGACTAATGGCATTCCAGAGACCCATTGAAGATATCAAGAAATCCTAACAACCGTATCTTCCAGCTTTTAATTATTGCCATCTCGATCCCTTACTAAGTATTAGAGAGAGATTCCTCAGAAGTAGCTAGCTAGCTAGCTGTTGAATTGTTTGGAAATTATTTTTTGTGATGTTTCCTTTACAACAAAGTGATGATAATGAGTTGGTATTTCAGATTCTGTCAAATCCTAGCCAACAAGGCAACATCTCCCAAGATTTGATTTTGGATTATGCTTCTCTGGAGACAAGTCATCCCCAAAATGTTAAAAATCCAAAGAAAAAGAAGCTACCAAGAAGGGTATTAGGTAGTAGAAGTAACTCAGATAAAAAAGATTCAATCACTGATGAGTTCAAGCTTAAAAAAGTTATGCATAGAGATATGGAGCGTCAGAGAAGGCAAGAAATGACTAACCTTTACTCTTCTCTCCGATCTCTCCTTCCTCTTCAGTGTGTCAAGGTATATTCTTAGTCAATTAATTTCTTATCCTTCCCTTTCACGTCCCGAATTTTTGAATCTGTTGGTTCAAAATAAATCCAATCTTATTATACTATATAGTTGCACATATATACTTAGTTCAATGGGTACAAAATAAGTTCCACCTTATTATATATCCATCTTAATTTCCTTAACCTTTTCTTCCCTAAATTTAATCTGAATATATATGGCAAGTAATGATTTTTTCCTCCCATGGAAAAAATTCTAGGAAAATAATAAAAAGGAAAGGTGTTTATCACATTAGTAGATATTTATTTTTGAAAGGATTGGATATGGTTAATTGAAATTAAACAAGGGTTCTTCTTTTTAATTAGGGCAAACGATCAGTATCGGATCATATGCATGAGGCAGTGAATTATATCAAACAACTGCAGGCAAATATGAATAAGTTAGAAAGAAAGAGAGAAAAGCTGAAAATGGTTCCCAAGTCAAGTCCACGTGGCAGGGTGGAAGAAGATAGCTCAGATGTTAGTTCTATTATTGCATCCCCAGATTGTGACACAGTGAGTCCATGCCATGGTGGTGTAGAGATTTTAATCAATGGTAATAATAATAGAGGGGAAAGTTTACCCCTCTCGAGAATTCTACAAGAGCTTCTGAAAGAAGGGCTTGATGTTGTTAGCTGCGTTTCTGCCAAAGTTAATCAAAACTCACTCCATAGAATTCAATCCGAGGTACAGTAGATATACTGTATATTGAAATCTTCCGATGATGACTTAAAGATTAATAGCGTTTTATTCGTGGAATGTTCTACACTTCCAATACTTCATCTGTTTTATTTTATACTCCTATATGATATTCTTTTCTTATTAATTTGCTTTAAAAAAAATGTGTTAACTTTTTATGTTAGCAAACTCTCTAACTTTTAACTTTTTCCCATACTGACATTCATGTGTGGCCATATTAATATCATAACATATTTGAAACAAAAAGTTCTAACGTTTATTTGTAGTATGTGTCAAAAAATTTTCTTTCCTTCTTAAGCTTTGTGTCTAGATGAAACATCTCCGTTTTAATTTATATGATACAATTTTCTTATTAGTCCGTTTCAAAAGAATAACACAATTTGAAAATAATTTAAGTTTTAGCTTTTTATTTTATTTATTTTAAGCTTAATGAAAAGCTTTTATAGCCACTCAAATCGAGAGTTACATATAAACTTTTACTCTTTAAGCTTTTAAGACTATGCTAGCGTTTGGACATATTTAGTTAAAACTTGAAAAAAGAGTTTTTGAACTTGTGTTGAAAATTAATTTTTGAAAGTTGAAGTTGTGTTTGGACATGCATTTTATTTGAACAAAATTTGGAGTTTTGTGAGTGGAAGAAAACGTTTCACCCTAAAACTGTCCTAAACCAGCTTTTGGGAGCTTGAATTTTTTTTTAAAAAATGTTCTATGAACAAACATTGTTTTTAATTTTTTTTTTGGATAAAATATACCCAAATTTTATGACCAAACAAGTGTTATAAGTTTCAAAAGTCTCTTTTGTAAAACTATGTATGGAGTCAAACTACGGAATATATATTGATGTGGAGGGAGTACATAGATAGTGAGATTTTTTTTTTTTCTTTTTTTTGTGGATTTCCATTTGTTGTTTGAGCATATTGAACCGCCTTTAATTAATCATCCTACTGCAGGGCTGTGATGAGAAATGCATCAATCTTCATTCGCTGCAACGGAAGGTGATTGATGTGATCAACATTGATGTATAGCCATACGAATGTGATGACATGATCAGAAATCAGAAGCATTGAATAATGTCAAGTACTGCAGCTTTGCTTAATGTGGTCATCATATATAGGAGTAGTTCATTCCCTCTCTTGAAAATTAGGCGAGTTGTCATTTCCAGGTAATTAATGTTTCTGGAACGATATGTGATTATAGTTATTTAATAAAAGAGGTGAGGAAACATGATTTTCTGGTTTGTACATCTAATGCTTGATAGCTAATGAGAGTGGTTGTCTTGTTTTGACCCTACCATGTTTGACTTGCAAGAGTTCATTAATGATGAAGAACAAAGTAGTAGGCAATGAGAAAGACAAAATTATTGTGCACATACTAATGTAGTCCTGAAATGTTGCATGCTTTACTGGAATAAGGTTCCGAAATTAGTGTTTTTTTTGACTCAAGCGATCATAATAGGTAAAAAAAATAAAATATCGGGCACTATTTTATATATAGCGCGATTATTTATCGCGCTATACCTTAACGGCACGTTTGTCCGTTAAGGTATACCGCGGTGAATAACCGCGCCATATATAAAAGTTGGGCCCACCAATAATTTATCTGCTCAAAACTGACATACCAATAATTTATAGGGGTATTAGTATAGTGCGTAGATTTAAGGCGCTATACATCAAATAATTGTACCTCCAGACTGATTTTTTCCTTATTTAAGGTGTTTCAGAATTTTGTAAAAATTCATTCAAGATCCTTCAAGTCTTGCGAAATATTTGTTCGTTAAATTATTTTGCATTTTGTCATAATATCCGAAAAGCGAAAAATTAGGTTTCATTATATTGGGGGGGAGGGGAGGGATGAGGTTGTGGTGAAGAATAATTAAGTACGCTATAGTTATTCTTCAAAGTGTCATGTTAAGTTACCATTTACAATGGAGTAAGATATATTGATATCGTTATTATGTAAAAAAATGAGTGTGAGCAAACGTTCGGTTAATATTAAAGTTACCGGAAGATATCCGTATTCTGTTACTCTGCAAGAGGTTGCTTGTTATGCTGAGTTTAACATCGAAGATGATGAAACTCTGAAAGATTTTTTGAGGACTCCGGATGAACACCGGGAATTTCTTGTGATAAAAATATTGGAAATGTATGTCAAGGCTGAAGACGTTCTCAATAATGAGGTTCCGTAAAGTAGGGATATCCCTCAATCATCGGGTGGTTATTTTGGAGCAGTTTTAGCCGAAGAGGTTCCAGGTGAAAGAGTTTTGGCCTGATCTAAACTTATCTCCACGGGCGAATGAGGAGCGAGGAAATACTTTCTCCCCTAGTTTACATAATCCACAAGCCGAGTGGTAAACTTCAATTGTCCTTTGTGTTACGATGTTTATTTTTATGTATTGAATTTGTATTAACACTCGTATATTCCATATGGGGTACCGTCCAGATATGAAATTTACAAGTTATGAACCAACAGCTAGTTGGAATATGCCTAATTTTGGTGTGTTGGATCATGGTGGTCCATCCGGGAGTCATCATCAACAGGATAATGTGCATCATGGGATATCAACACATTATGATTTGTAAGTGAAGTGATAAAGTTTATATGTAAAGTTTGGATGAATTCGAGAAACTCATTATTTTATTGGTTGTGTAGTGAAAACGGGCAACTTGAAGGTCATGTCCTTTCTCAATTGCCCGAAGACGATATATTTAATCGGGATCTGGAAGATGCGTAGAGTCAGAAAGAGAGTAGTGATGATGACAACAATGCTGATGAGTCTAGAGATAACACACCCTTCCCTGATGAGGGTGATGATGATGAGGACGAGAATGCTGAACCTAATTTGACGAGGGAGCATGCTTCACCTCCCGTTAGACCAAGAGTGTACGAGTCCCACGTGCCGTTTCATTCAAAGGAGATTCCCTACCTTGATCATTTGCCAAGTATGCCGGATGTCAATGCCTTCACAAGAGATCTTGATGAAATTCGGACAACAATGTGAGATGAATCTAAAGCAACTGTGTTGTCAAAGGGCATGCTTTTGCTGATAAAGCGCGCTTAAGCAGAGCGGTGCGAATGTACATCATAAAAGAGTGTCGTGAGATCGTGATTCATGAGTCATCTTCGGAATTGTACAAGGTTATTTCTCGTAGATGGTTTCAAGGTTATAATTGGATGTTGCGTGCGAGGAAGCTAAAAATAAATATGTGGGTTGTGGGTAAATACATTGACACCCACAATTGTGAAATGGACACATTCAATGGGAATCATTTTAACTTGAATGTTGACTTGATTTCTCTTGTCTTGATTCCACACATTGAAGCGTCCATAAGGTACAAGATCAAAAAGTATATAATATCTGTCCACCAGGTATATGGATGTACCATTACCAAAAGAAACGCATTTCTCGAGCGCAAACATGCGTTTGAAATTATTTATGATAACTGGGATAAGTCATTTACCTCTCTACCCAGGTACATGATCGCATTACAATACTTTAACCCCGGGACTGTTATTGAATGGAAGCTTGAGCGGAGTTCGAAAATACTAGAACACATATTCAGATATGCGTGCTGGGCATTTAAACCAGCCATTGATGTTTTGTGCATTGTCGGCAGGTAATATCCATAGACGACACTCATGTCGATGGAAAGTATGATATTAAGCCGTTGATCGCCATTGCAGTAGATGCTAATGGAAGTATATTTTCCCTAGCATTATCTATTTGTGCCAATGAAAGCCAAGAGACATGGACATTATTTTTGAACCACTTGAAGGAGCACGTTGTCAGACAATGCTAAGGTATTTGTCTAATATTTGATCGGCATGGCGGTATTTTAAGTTCTGTACAGAATTTGCGTGCATGGCAGGAACCGTATGCCTACCACCGTTATTGTGTGAGGAACCTGAAGGCCAACTTCCAGAGGGCTTATCTGAAAAAGGACTTGCATGATTTAATGCGGATGGCTACAACAGATCACTAAGAGTGTAAATTCAGGAGGCGAATGGAATTGATCAGACAAGAAGACCAAGGAGCCTATAGTTTGTTGATGCGACATGAGATTGACAATTGGACTTTGCATGCGGATGGTGGAAGAGGATGGGGAATTCTGACTACAAATATGTAGTCTTTCAACGGGTTACTAAAGTCTGCACGTGGATTGCCTGTCACTGCCATGGTGCGGATGTCATTCAATCAGATGGCAGAGAGGTTTGTTGAAAGATCTAGAGGTGCATTGTCATTGATGGAAATGGGTGTTGAATTTATGCCAATACCAATGAAAAGATTTGAGAAATACAGGAAGCGAACATAGTGGCATTCATTTTTGCAGTATTACAACGAGCGAAATATTTTTAAAGTTCGAACTGTTATTCATCATAACCGGGGGAATAATACACACACCGTCAATGAAGCCAGAAGGTTATGCTCCTATGGGAAATGGTCTATCTATAACATGCCGTGCTCACATGCCATGAAGTGTTTTCAACATACAGGTTTCGCGGCAACGAGGTACGTTGATAAAGAATATAGTGTTGCTGCATACTTAAACACCTATAGTGAACAGTTGCAGCCAGTGGGTGCTGAGTATTATTGGCCATCAGAACCATTTAAAATAGTGTGTAATAAGGATTATGTGCGTCAACGACAAGTGCAAAAAAAAATGCGTATACGGAACTAAATGGATATTGGTGATACCGTTTATGCGTGTAAATGTGGCATATGTTCCCAAACAGGATACGACCGTCATAAACATCCTTCAGTTGGTTTGGTAGCGGTGGTAATTCAGCTCCCAGTGGAAGTTCATCCAATGTGCCCAATTATTAAGGATACACGTAGTATTTTGTTGCAGTAATTTATTGTAATAAATGTATTTAAATGTTCAGCTTGCAAAATATATGAAATAAAATTATGTTTCCATTGGGGTTAAATCTAATTGATATTTAGCATTAATACTTCAGTACAATAATTTAACATACACCCCAAGAAAAAAAATATATTTGTCATTCGCCATTATCGTCGCCGTCTGGCACTATTTCATTGTCACTGTCTTCATCTTCTTCGTCAATATATTGTACGCACTCTTCGGGACTGAGGGCATCATAATCTAGGCCCCAGTTGACACACATTTCTTGTATTTCATCACTATCATCAATAAGACTACTTGCTTGATTTCTACAATAATATGGGACTCCTACGTCTAACGTCTGTGGTAGAAACTTTGATAGTCCCTCCCACTCGACAACTGTTGGGAAAACAGGATAATCATTGTCTCTATGCAATTTTTCATTTTGTAATAAATCCAGTACTGATCCTCCGTTCCTCCCAGGTAGTTAAGATCATCCATTGCATGATGAACAACTAGTGCCTTTTCCATCTCTAGAATCTCCTTCATCAAATGCCGAATCACTTCAGGTTCATCTTTGTGTGTGTTTGTTTAGAAGGTTGCAGACAGTGCTTGTGGCACAACAAGCCCATGCCAGCGACATAGTACTTCATAATCACATCGTTTTGAGTATAGGGGAACCCATTATAGTTTTTCGCCCCAAATTCACATACCTTCAGGCTTTGTAGAATACGCTTCGCCCTCAATAATGTGCCCTGCAACTTTGAGATCAGTGTGTATATTGATAGGCTTACTTTCCAAGGGATGTAGAGCACCATACAACTTGTCATCAACCAAATTAGTATAGCAACCTAGCATAAGTTTTTCAAGGTAGGGATCAATAATGTTAAGACGTGTTCCATGGGGATCTATTGAACAACCTTCACCCTTTTGCCTCTTCTTGAACCACTTATTAAATGTTAGTGGCATTTTTGAAATAGATGTTGTAATGTTTCTTCAAATGGTCTTTGAATACTGATCTCTTGGTTCAGTTTAAGAAGCTGTCTTATACCTTAAAGAATCATAGCACGCCGCCAATATGCATTATGTGTATTGTCTTGTCGATCTGAAAAAGTTACCGTTCTGGAAAAGCTATCTTGTACCCTAAAGAATCATTATCACATGAAACATAGCGCGCCACTAATATGCGTTATGTGTATTGTCTTGTCGACCTGAAAAAGCTCGCGTTCTGGAAAAGCTGTCTTGTACCCTAAAGAATCATTATCACGCGAAACATAGCGCGCCACCAATACGCATTATGTGTATTAGCTGCCTATAAAAGCCTAGCGCATTTTAGTTATTATTTGCGCTTAACGAAACAAATAGAAAAACTTTCCATTAATTTTTTTATTTTTCTTGCATTACGAAATGTCTGGACGCAATGACGTACCAAGGTGTTATTGTGGCAAACGTGCGATTTTGAAGCCATGTTGGTCAAATTGCAATCTGGGGCGCAGACGCTTGATCTGTCAACAACTTGTAAGTTATT